TCAAACGGGAGAGGTGAGTGGAAAACTCATGTGGGTGAAACAGGAGGGACGAGCAGAACAATCATAAGGGTCAAACGGAAATAAGGATGAGGGTCAAACGGAAGAGTAGGGCAAAACGGTCATAAGGGGCAAGTGGCAGAGACGAGCAGAACTCATGAGGGTCAAGCTTTCAGCTTGCCTCTTCCATTTGACCCTTATGATCGTTCTGCTCGGAATGAGGTTCTGACACTTATGACAGTTTTAACCCACATGATCCTTCTTGCCGTTCTTGTGGAACCTTCATTTGTCTTCCAACGTTCCAAAATGTGGGGGACAATTTAAAGAAAGGGTAGGGGAGGGTGGGGCAAAACGGCCCCCCTTCAATTGTCAATAACTTGTGAATGACATTGTGAAAATTCCCAGTTTCAACTTCATTTTGAAGATAGTTTTTCATTCTTCAAAACGAGCTCTAACTCATCCCAATCGGATTATTGAATCGGAAAATATTGACGATTGAAGGGGGACCGTTTTGCCCCACCCTCCCCTATATTTTTGGTGGCACTTGGAGTGAGCGTCGAGTATATTCTCTACTTTTCCATATAGGATAGTGTAGGCTAATCCAAGGGCGATTTCCTTTGACTTCGGATAACTAGAGCAATCATAATGGGTCAAGCGGGAGAGACGAGCGGACGGCCTTGAGGGTCAAACGGAAGAAATAAGGATGAGGGTCAAACGGAAGAGTAGGGCAAAACGGTCATAAGGGGCAAGTGGCAGAGACGAACACTCATGACGGGCTTGTCTCCTCCGTTTGACCCTTATGACACTTTCCACCTTCTGAAATGTCGGAAAAATTTCAGTGGAAGCGGTGTAAAAAGTAGAAATTTATCGAGCAAATAATGAGCTTGGAACCTTGTTTATTGAAATCATCATCGCACCCCGTTACCAACCATCATATCTCACTCGAAGGGAGAGGAGAGAGACCCCGACTCCGTGACTCGACAAATAGTAGGCAATATTGTTCGGGTTAGCCAACACCCCATTTGCAACCCTCCAGCGCCCCTCGGACGTTTTGTTCCCGGATAATGCGCCACATATTTGCTCTGACATTATATGCCACCCAGCGGATAATATGCCCCTCACTGGGTTCAATGCAGCCGGAGATTTATGATCCCTTCATCGATTAAAAATATCTATTACCCGTAATATCAAAATAGCGGATACTCGCACGATCGAGGGGGATTACGAATTTATCAGGCTCAGAAAGTCTATTCTGAATTCAAGAACAATTTTTCTTGGATGAGAATTTGATGAGACGATGGTTCTCCCGTGGGAATACAGTTATATTTATTTACTCCAGATAAATTCCATTAATTTGATAAAAAATAAAGAAGACAACGAAAACTCTAGACAAAACGATGAAGCACTAGTGTTTCATCGACATTATCAATAAAAAAATGATATCCAAATTTTTTTACGTTAAAATGTCATCAATATAATTTGTATTAAATATTGATGACATTTATATGGGGCATAAAGGGTTGGAAAATTATGAGATAGACGTGTCTTTGAAACACTTGAAAATCTTTCAACTCTCAATTTTCTTTAGAATTTTTCTTTTTAATCTGTATCCAATATCGTGAAAGGTTATATTTTCTGACATAAAAATGAATAAGACATTCTTCATGATGGCTATTTTCGGAACACAAGCTTCAAAGGGACAAATTCCACATTGTATTTCTCCACATACAAAAATTCAACTTCGTTCTTTTTCCTCCACATAGTTGCGACAATACAACGGAATTTCCCTAAAAAAATTAAACTTAACTTCATTCTCCTCCACTCGAGTGAATCCAGATCCATAAATTTTTCATAACTGAGAAGAATGTTGCAGTCGGTTGTAGTGAAGAATTCTTGAAGTTATTCGTCAGCAACTTCCATATTTGTTCACGAGAGTGGTAATTATTATAGCCGCAAAGAGATTTATGCTTGGTTTAATTACTTCCTCGGAGTCGATAGACATCGCTGTGAAAATTGAAGGAATAGAATTATATTCAGTTAAATAAATTGATACTAAAAAAATTAGTACGACAAATTTTAGAGTTTGTAGAACGAAATTTGAGACGGGGCTTATTTAAATTCTTGTATTTTTGTCCAGTATTTTGAAAGAAGTATTGAATTTCAAATGAATTTTGAATTAAATCTAATTTAATTTGATTTAAAATGATTTTGGATTCGATTCAAGGGGAAAAGTCAACGGAATTTTGACTTTGGAATTGAAAATTTAAGTCAAGTTCTATTTTTTTAGCGACAGGGAGATGAAATTTCCACAAGTTACATGAATTTTCAAGTGAAAATGAATATTTACTGCCAAATTCCCCTGAATTTTCCGGAAATTTCTTTGAAATTCTTGGAATTACAGAAATTTTTGAAGGAATTCCCTGAAAATTCAGAGGATTGTGGAATTCAAGGAGAGATTTCTCCGAATTTTTCTGACTTTTCATTAATTTCCCCGGAATAATGAATCCGAAATTATGAATTTTCAATGACAAAATTAAAAATATTCCCCTGAAGACATCGTTTGTCGTGTTGAGCCAATTTACCTGTGGACAAAAAAGAAAGTTGCCACCAAAACATGATAATTTTCGTAGTTGTAATTGTTCTCGTGAGACATTTATATGTTTTTCGGGTAAACTCATCCGTTCCACAGAGAATTATATGACACTCCGGTTTTATCAAGTGAATGTTATTGAGTAGTGTATATCTTTGTCCAATAAACACTTAGAATTTCCACGGTACAAATGATAACTTCGAGAGGAAACTACAATATTCTTGCCGAAAGCTGTGTTAGTGGCAAAACTAAATAATTTCGAGTGAATTTTTTTTGGGAAAAAAATTTTCTTTCCTCTTCATTGACGAGTCGTCAATGTGTTCCTTCCGTTGTATAAACCTATGAAGTTCTCTCAGATCACATGATTGTCGTCCAATAGATTATATTTTTTCCTGCCAACAGTTCGAATTCTTCTAGGAATATTTACACATGATGATCTTGACAATAATTCAATTTTCGTGAAAGATATTCAATTTCCTTCCCTCAAGTAAATCTCTTCCACTCTATCAAATATTCTCACGTGGATCATACAATTTTTCGGCAGAGCTAATTGTTTTTCTCGTACCATAAAATCATTACCTGAATATTTAATTGACACACTCTCCATTTGCTTCACATACCGCAAATAATCATCAATGCCACACGAAGGTCATCCCACCGACGTAAACCCATTCGGTCCGACATAATCCCGTGCCCAAACAAAAACTCCCTGCACAAACAATCGATTATCAAAAAATATTCACCACCAACAGAAGATCCTGATCGACTCGTGCCCGACAACTTCTCGGGTAATCGTTCTTATCAAATGATACTCGAGTGTCTCGATGCCATCCAACCGCCTCTCGACAATTTTCCGGATCACTGGCTGCAGCATCGAATAACACTCGACGCTCCACCCCGCCTTTTCCCCCGGAAACATCGATTGATGTGTGCTCACTATCGCATGAAAAAAAAATAATCATTTGACTTCAAGAGAGCAGGTAGAAGCACACGCGCAGGCACGTGTGCCCCTTTGGAAACTCGTTGTTCAATAACTCGTATCGTCTGTCCATTCGTTCCTAAACAGTTTCGCGGGTTGTTACACATCCGAGAGGAGATGGCAGGTAGATAAAGTGATGCACGTGGCGACGCGTGGCCTTGGAACAGTTGATGTCTTCGATGAAACAAAATATTAATAAAAATGATAAAAATGGTGATGTTAATGGATCTGTGTTTCGGGATGCGTGCGGGTTTTTTTGTCTCCTTTGTTTTTCGTTTTATAGTAGTATAGGGTAATCCAAGGGCGATTTCCGTTGATTTCGGATAACTAGAGCCATCATAAGGGTCAAGGGGGAGAGACGAGCGGACGGCCTTGAGGGTCAAACGGAAGAGATGAGTGGAAAACTCATGAGGGTCAAGCAGGAGGGACGAGCAGAACAATCATAAGGGTCAAACGGATGAAATAGGGATGAGGGTCAAACGGAAGAGTAGGGGAAAAAGGGTCATAAGGGTCAGGTGGAAGAGACGAGCAGAACACTCATGAGGGTCAAGCTTTCAGCTTGTCTCTCCCGTTTCACCCTTATGATGGTTCTGCTCGTAATGAGATTCTGACACTTACGACAGTTTTAACCCACATGACTGTGGTTAAACATAACCCACATAACCCACATGACTGACTTCTTGCCGTTCTTGTGGAACCTTCATTTGTCTTCCAACGTTCCAAAATGTGGGTCAAATGGAAGAGATGAGTGGAAAACTCATGAGGGTCAAACAGGAGGGACGAGCAGGACGACCATAAGGGTCAAACGGAAGAAATAAGGATGAGGGTCAAACGGAAGAGTAGGGAAAAATGGTCATAAGGGTCAAGTGGAAGAGACGAGAACACTCATGAGGGTCAAGCTTTCTGCTTATCTCCTCCGTTTGACCCTTATGACACTTTTACAAAAAATAAAAAGTGCAAATAACTATTACATTCATTAAAATCCTCAATACTCATACAAACCATTAACATAATAATCCCAATGAATTTTTCTGTTCATCGGTAAACGAAAAGAATATATTATTCGTATCCATAAACGAGCTTTTAATCGTCCCCGATGATCAGTCGAGTTAAATTCCCCCGGTCATATCAAGATCCGAGATAAAAGAGACTGTAACATTGGGTTTAACATGGAGATCTCAACTGGTTGATCTCGTGACGCTCCGTGTGGGACTAAAGACCCGAGAGGCATCCGTCCTTGTCGGTGGTGTCGCAGCGGGTGCCATCACCGAATCGGCACCCTCGCATCACTCAAAATCCCATGCAGGATTTTAAATCGAAGGAGAAGAATTATATTTCTATTTAAAAAAATCGTGAGACTGTCTCGAGAAATCGAATTAATGTAAATTAATTTAGTTTATGGTGGTACTAATTGTCATTTTCTGTGGGTTTCAGATCTAGATCCACAGGTACAGGATTCCAAGGATCTCTACTGGTGATTTAAGTCAAGCTCCATTTTTTTAGCGACAGGGAGATGAAATTTCCACAAGTTACATGAATTTTCAAGTGAAAATGAATATTTACTGCCAAATTCCCCTGAATTTTCCGGAAATTTCTTTGAAATTCTTGGAATTTCAGAAATCTTTGAAGGTATTCCCTGGGTTATCCCCGGTAATCACGGGGGACTCGAGAGGATTATTGTGATGACTCGCGTCCGGAACTGAAAAAATTTTTTTGTTATAACTGTTGATGGAGGGACTCGGTTCATGTGACCGTTTATGCGGGAGAAGTGTGTACATAGTGTTACCTAATTATTTTAAGGTTGTTTAGGTAGTGAAGTTGGGGAGATTGTGGGACATGTAGGGGTAGATAGCGACCGGCGCACACTATTTCACGGATGTTGAAGTGAACGTCAGGAGAGGTTTGATCGTGGAGTAGATTTTTTTTGGTGTAGAATATTTTATTGAATTGAAAAATAATATTGTAGTGGATCACAGGATTTTTTTCTCACTCTGAGAATATTTTATTCTTGAATTCAGAATAAAAGTTCTGCTCTAAAATCTAGAATTTTCATGATTCAATTAAAATAATATATTCTGGAATAAAAAAATCAAAATTTTTTAATTCACTATTTTTGTATTCGTAATTTAAAAAATGGGGCAGATTTATTAACTTCAAAATATTTTCTATTCCACGATCAATGATGGTACAAAGTACGTGCTCTCTCATGTAAGAACCACGGATCTCTAGTTCATCAGTAGTAGGTATCATTGTAATAACAATTCAAAGAAAAATGATCTATTTATTGAATGAAATTCTTGCCATAACGTCATATCCACATGAATGCTGTATTGTAATATATGCTGTGAAGGTGTTCCACTTGAAAATTCACGAGTAAATGATACGTCAAGAATAATCCAGTGGTTTCATTTCTCCCACCCTCTGGAAACCCAAATTCGTTGTTCCAAAAAAAATAATTTCTCTCAAATTACGAATGTCAAATAGTGATTCGTCGATTAAAACTAAATGAATACCAACACATGCGGAAATCCTCACAGTTACCAATATTTGAAATAGCATTTCACCCAGCTCTGAAAACTAAAAAAAACTGAATAAACAATAACAAAAAAATCATTTCGTTTTCTTCTCATTTAATTTTCCCGAATTTCGAATAGTTTAAATCAATGAAATATTCAGTTCGTTAAGTAATTGGGCTGATTAAGCCCCTCAGTATTTTACTGTTGCACCCCCCTCCCCCCCGGGAGGAGTTAATCGAGTGGGTAATTAGCGCGGGATATTTGAATTCCCCGTTCGACGTCTGCGGGCCCATTTTCCCCGGGATTTTGACGAGGATTCAAGTTCGACGCGGAAACACGTGTAAAACGACGTCGCTAACACATCTGGCGGATCCTTAACGATACGAGAGTGACGCTAATTAAGCTCGACACCTCGTAGACAACCGGAAATGAGCTGCACGGATCGCTTAACAGGAGTGCGTGGGAGTCTTTAATAAGTGGCGATATCGATGAGCGGAGATTTTCGTGGGGGAATTTCTCTTTCTGGAAATTTAGTTGGGCCGCCTGCGGTGGGGGAGACCGGGGATGACGGAGAGCCCGAACCCCTGGGACCTTTCCACACGGGGATTCTACAAAGTTGTCCTGATAAATCAGAAAGAACTCGTTTTATTTTCGTTTTGGTTTTAACGTTTCGTAATAGCGTGGGATTTTTTTTAGTAGAGATACGTGTGTTCGTGAAGTAATGTGTAATAATTCACTCGTGAATGTGAGATTTTACATTTGTCAAACTTGCCCTTTTCGAACTAGTACGTAAATATAGTATTTTTTCACGGTTGGGTCGAGAGGGCCGTCTATCGGCACGTTTGGGGTGCGGTAAATGACGTATTATAGAGGGAGCGACACCAGCGCCACTTGAAGTTGTCTACAATTGCCTTCATTCACCGCTTGATGTTTTCTGAATGCAACTGGATATTTTTCTTTTCTACACGGAGAGAAATTTTTTAGAAAAATTCTAGTGCTGGCACGGTAGAAGAGGCGCAAAGTGATGGCCAGGAAAAAATTCCAGTGCTGGCACTGCAAATTTTATTTCGAAAAACGTGAATTGTTCCCCGTATTTCTGTAAAAATTTCACAAAAATCCCCGATATTTTATCAGAAATCCTGAGAAATTTTACCTTAACAGCCCTAGAATTTTTCACAACTGGTCGATTTTGATTGTTTTTAGTACTCATACTAGAATTTTTCTAGAAAATTTCTCGTTTTTCTAGAAAATTAATCGTCTATAAAATTGACATTATTCTCTAGATAGAGAATAATGTCTAGTTTTAAAGATGGACATCATTAGTCATTTAAAAATTCGCCGGGAGAAAATAATATTTTGTTTTAGATGAAAAATTTATCAATGTTTGAAATTTCAGGAAAATACGACGGTAAATTCGACATTCATAAATTGTTATTTTGTGTCATTTTATTGATAATTTTTCTTCTGTTTATTTCTAATAAAATGAGATGATTAGGCTTCAATTTTTTACACACATTTTTTTATAATCTAAATCTACATCTAAAAATTTCAAGTTTTAAAAGTTTGTTACTACTGCAATATTTTAAAAGTTTATATGAATGATGAAAATATATGTTAATGATACATAATTCATCAGAGGTGAATTAAGAAATTATAAAGTAGAGAAAAGTCCAATTTGTCATTGAAAAAAAATCTCAGGTCAATTTTTGAATAAAAGTAAAACAATAATCCACGAGATGGGGTTGACGTAATAAAAAATGAATATAGTTAATTAAAGGGAGACTGGTGAAATTTTTAAGTCGCGGACTAACTATTTGAATGAGACTGTTAGTACATTGAAGATCCATTAGTTATGTATAAAAACGAGGATTTAATGCTGAAAAATCAATTGTTTATTGTTAATTTCCTCCAGACAACAAATGTTATAACAAAAATTTCGCTCCCTTCATAAATTGTTCATTTCCGTTTATCTACAATGAAATAAGATAAGGTTTCAAATTATTTTTTAAGAATTATAACAATAACAACCACAATAATAATAATAATAATAATGCCATATAGGGAAGGGTAATGAAATCTGATGCGTCCGAGTCATATTATTTGATCAAGGAATATCTTCAATAGAAGATGAGACATGAATTCTCATCTGAAAAATTTCTTCCAGTTTTTTAAATTTTCTACCCCAGGAAGTCTATCCACGTGGCCCTCACGTGGCTTCCTGTCTCCCAACTTTTTCAACGTCTCGACATCTGTACATATTTCGTAATACACGATAGAATACATACCCAAATCATACATTTGCGTACGCTCGAATGAGAAAGACGAAAGAAGGCGGAACCGTATGATTTATAGTAGACAACGAAAGAGGAAAGATCGAGATCATTGACCCATCAGCATCGAAGTGAAAATACGAGATGACGCGGAAATAAATTCGAAAAAATTAACGTTTAACAATTGAATGTTTCTCCTTTCTCTGGAGATGAAATAAATAATTTCCGTTGATTTATCTTGGAATCTGGTCAATAAATTAAAAGTAAATGAGGAAAAAAATATGAGGGGACCGCGCAGGGGCTAACGGAGAGGCAAAATAAAGAAATGGGGAGAGGATTTCGGTAATTACAGAGGGGGTGGAGAGGGAGGGGGGGGAGACGCAAAAGCGTCGAGGGCGCCCAGTAAATCTTGGACGTCTTGCCTCTTTTCTCTCGTCCTTTTACCTTTCTCAATCTTGTCCTCATGACTTTTGTTCAGTGCTTATCTAGAGATCGTAAACCGCACACCTTCTGGGCCTGTCAGGGGGCCATAATTTATCTCGAGATTTATTGGGTTTTGCTACTGTTTTATTGAATTTTTGCGGGTACTCGGGATGAATTCATGTAAAGAGACAAAAGTTGGAGCAGAATCCATTTCTAGGTCTTTGCTGCGGAACTCGCAGTGAATTTTTGTCCCCTGACTCGGGAAAATTGACTAAACGTGAGGTTTATTTGTGCCCAATCTGAATAATTGCTCAATATTGCGTAATCATTCACATATGTGTAGGTATTTTTCTGTGACGGAGAATGACTATTTTTAAATATGTTGCGTTATCGACTGTTGTAGATTCAATGATTAAGGTTTCATTGACTTTGTTGTCATTGAATAAAATATCAAATTATTTCCGATGATAAGAAATCTGAATTATTTTTATTCCTCTGTAACACCAAAATGACAAGTAATCAATTGCAAAAATGACCAGACGAGTTTCTACCGAACGAATCATAAGATGTCCACCACAAAACGTATTGTTTATTGACTTACAGTTTCGCTCCTCGATTACCTTTCTTACAGTAAAATTAGCGGCGATTTTCAAGATAATTTTTATTCAACTTTTGAAAATAATCGATGAAAATTGTTCCTTGACGCCAACATTTTTCGTAAATTATCGCATTGGCTTTTGATAATCTCCTATTTACCCAGTTGTCATGATTAAACCGTTCCGCCACACCTTGACTGGTCCAATAAACTTTTCATCAAAGATAACTTCACATTATCTCGAGCATTCCCGGCTTAAACCTCAACGCGAAGACGTAGTAAATTTTTATAAAGACAATTTCTTCACCGAGAGAAGTGAATTCTCTGACGTCATGTGTTTATTGAAGCCGATTGATATAATTTCACTGGCGCCAAAGTTTCCAGTCCAACGCTCGTGTCACGATAAACTGCACCTGGACGTCAATCGAGTCCATGATGAGCTAAATCAAAAATGGGGTCTTGCAACAGAGAAAAACAAAATTTTGACTTTCAGCAAAAATCTATGAATGAAAAAATTTCCTCGGCGTAGGACTTGGCGACAAAAAAAATATCGCGTTATTCTAAAAAAAATTATGTAACAATGCTTTGAGTTTCAATAACTCGAGATGAGACTTCTCTATGCGGAGAAAAAAGTTGGAGAAAAATTACTGAACAAGTTAAGTAAGTTCAAGAAAAAAGTGCGAGACAAATATTGAATTTTTCTCCGTTGGCCCGGGAAAATTTACTGAACGTGAGGGTAATTTGTACCGAAACTGTAAAATTTACCCTGTATTCCATCAAAAATTATCCCAGTGAACATAACTGATTGCTCAATATTGATTTGATTTGAAAACATTTTACTATTGCCTGAGATACAAAATCCCCTAAGGGCACATCTTGTTCAGAATAATTCGTTCTCACTTAAACTAAAGACAATTTGTGTTCAAAAACAGAATTGAAAGTCAAGATCTAATCAAGATATTCGTAATGGTGAGTATTTTCATTATTCCATGCCCGTATATTTCCCTATAGGGATTCGTAGGGATTATTATTTGCTCAGGTATCGATGGGAAAAAGAGGAGACAGTTTGTTTTAGGAAAATCTATCCGGGAAGAAAACTCGTGGAACTGTATTTTTTCATTGAATCACGTTTCGCTCGACGATTTGCCACGATTTTCTAGATAATTTTCATCCAACTGCT